AGAAATCACATAACCAGATGTCAACGAAACAAATAATCCAAATTAAAAAATTGGCAAAACACCTGAATGGGTATTTTTCCAAAGAAGATATATGAATGAACAATACAGGAAACAGTGCTCAACATCACTAATCATCAGGGAAATGCACATCAAACCACAATGAGATATCACCTCATGCCTGTTAGAATGGTTACCATAAAAAAACCCCAAGGGATCTAAGAAATATGGTGACGATGTGGAGAAAAAGGGCCCCTCGTGCACTGTTGATGAGAATGTAAATTAGTGTGGCCAATACAGAAAACAGTATAGAGGTTTCACAGAGTTAAAGATAGAATTACCGCATGATTCAGCAATTCCATTTCTGGGAACATCTGAAGAAAAAGAAAACACTATTATTGAATTGATATGTGCATTTCCATGTTTACAGCGGCATTGTTAACAGTAGCCAAGACATGAAGACAACCTAAGTGTTCAACAGACAAATGGATAAAGGAGTTGTGGTATATATACAATGAAATATTCAGCCACAAAAAATGAGGAAATCTTACCACCTGTGACAACATGGATGGACCCTGAAGCATTATGCAAGTGAAACAAGTCAGATGGAGAAAGACAGACACACTGATTATCACTTATTTGTGGAATCTAACAACAAAAAATCCCCCCAAAACTAACTCGTAGACAAAAGAGATAAGATTTATGGTTACCAGAAGCAGGGGTGAAAAGTGAGAGATAATGGTGATCAAAAAGCCAAACTTCCAGTATAAATATACTAAGGATGTAATGTACATGATGAGTGCCGTCAACAGTGCTATTCGATATACTTGAAAGTTGAGAGTAGATCGTAAGAGTTATCATCATATGGAAAAAATATTTTTTTTCTTTTTTGTATCTGTATGAGATGATGGATGTTAACTAAACTTACTGTGGTAATCACTTTACAATATACAGAGTGTCCCCCAAAATGTATACAGGGTATCTGTAGATTCTATTACATTTTGAAAATGACATGTATTTTAATAAAAACTGGCTTTAAAATTATTCCAAGTTGTGTATACTTTTTTGGGGATATCCTATATATATATCAAGTAATTATGATGTACATCTTAAACTTCTACAGTATATGCCAATTATACCTCAATAAAACTGAGGGAGAAAAAAGCTACCTTTCAAACTTGGATCTTTTGTTAATCCAGGTATCAAGTAACCAAAATGAGTGTATGAAAATATGCGAGGACTGACTTTAGTGATAAAATAAGATAGGGTAGACCTAGAAACATGGAAGTAGGGTACAGACTGACAACCCTCAGGAGAGGGGGTGGTGGGGGGTGGGAAGAGATAAACCACAAAACTTACATGCATGTATGCATAACCAATGGACACGGACAACAAAGCCGGGACGGGGCGGGGGGGATGGGGAGGAGGATGTCAATGGGTAAAAAAGGAGAAACATCTGTAACAAAAATAAAATTAAAAAAAAAAAGAAAAAAGAAAACCACCCTGAGATTTTATATTATGCTTTGAATTAAAAAATGTGATATTTTCTAGATTATATATCAATTTTTTAAAAATATGCATTTAATATTTACTTATTACAAAAATATAGATGCTCATTATAGAAAATTTAAAGAAAATAAGTCTAAATATAAAATTTTAAAAATCTTAAAGTATTACACTCAGATAACTTAGCAGCCATAAAATCCCAGTCCATTTCCATTCACTTTTTCTGCACTAAATTATAAACACTATTTTTTACACAACCGGGGCCATTCTTACATAGTTTTTAAAATCTTGTTTTACGCAACTGGATGATATAACTATTGCCCTTTGCGCCCTTAGATATTGTTCAACGATTTTCAATGTCTTCATAAAAGTTTACCATTGTGGGTACACCACAATTAACCCTTCTTCCATTGGTGGGCATTTGGCTTTTCTCCACGTTTCCACTTGTATATACACTGTAATAGGGCAATTTTCAAACACAGTTCGTGTGTGCATCTCTGATAATTTCCTCAGGATAAATTCCTAGACATAAAAATTATAAAGTTTTACTATTTATTACAAGACAAGGATGCCCACTACCATCACTTCTGTTCAACATAGCACTGGAAGTCCTAGCCACAGCAATTAGACAAAACAAAAAAATAAAAGGCATCCAAATTGAAAAAAAACAAAACTTTCATTATTTGCAGATGACATGATACTGTATATAGAAAACCCTAAAGATTGCACCAAAAAGCTATTAGAACTAACAGTTTTAATATATGATTTCAGTAAAGTTACAGGATACAACATCAATATATAGAAATCTGTTGCTTTTCTATACACCAATAATGAACAATCATAAGAAGAAATTAAGAAAACAACCCCATTTATAACTCATCAAAAAGAATACCTAGAATTAACCACAAAGGTGAGAGACCTGTATTCTGAAAAGTACAAGACATTGAAGAAAGAAACTGAACAAGATACAAATAAATGAAAGGATATACCTTGCTCATGGATTGGAAGAATTAATATAGCTAAAATGTCTATACGCAAGGTCATATACAGTTCAATGCAATCTCTATTAAAATAACAATGGCATTCTCCTCAGAATTAGAACTAATCCTAAAACTTATATAGAAGCACAAAAGACCCTGGATAGTCAAAGAAATCTTAAGAAAGAACAAAGTGGAAGGTAGAATGTTCCCTGATATCAAACGATACTACAAAGCTAGAGTAATAAAAAAAAAAAAAAAAAGTATGGTACTGGCATAAAAACAGGTATCTATCAATTCCACTTCTGGGCATCCAAAGAAAACAAAAACACTAATGCAAAAAGGTATCTGCATCCTTATGTACACGGCAGCATTATTTACAATAGCCAAGGGATGGAAGCAACCTAGATCAATAAATAAATGGATAAAAATGTAGTATATATACAATGGATTATTATACAGCAATAAACCGAATGAAATCCTGCCATTTGTAACAATATGGATAGACCTAAAGGATACTGTGCACTGTAAAATAAGTCAGAGAGAGGAAGAGAAATATTGTATGATCCTACTTATAAGTCGAATGTAAAATAAATGAATAAACAAACTAAACAAACCCGTAGGTATCAAGAACAAGCTGATGGTTGCCAAGGGAGACAGGGTGGCACATGGGAATTTAAAAAAATAATTAACACTAGGAAATTGAATCAGAAACAGAAAAAAAATATAGAAAACTCTTTTTAAAAAGATATATTCACACCCCTTTGTTCCATTCTTTTATTCTTTCTAGTTATCGAAACTAATATCTTTTTTTTTTTTAAATCCTCACCCAAGGACATTCTTGCATGTATCTTCAGATAAAGTGGGAGGGAGGAGGGGGGAGAGAGAGAGAAACACCGATGTGAGAGAGACACATCGAGTGGTTGCCACTGACATGACCCCAAACGGGGGCCGGGGACAAACTTCAACTGAGGTACGTGCCCTTAGTGGGAACCAAACCCGGGACTCTCTGGTCCGTGGGCCAACACTCTAACTGCTGAGCCAAACTGGCCAGGGTGAAACTAATATCTTAAAAGAGATGTCTCATCTTTTTGCAAAAAAAGTTTTGCTACTTATTGTCAAATTGCTACCACATGTCTGAAGAGAAATTTACATCCCCAATAGCAATGTATAAGAATGTTTATCTCATGTTACTTTTCTAGCACTTAATACTATATTAAAAATATTTGCACATTTTTTCATTGTTACACAATTCTTTATTTTGCTTTGATTTGTATTTTTTTTTATTACTAGTGAGTCTGGACTTTTCTTTTTCACATTTTTTGGATATTTCCCCCTTGTGGATTTATGTGTATTACCCATATTTCTATCTAGAGTGTTCATCTTTTTAAAAGTTATTCATAAATATTGATATTTTACTAAATATCACATTAAACTAAGTATCATACCTATTTTATTTTGCTTTGTTGCTAGTTTAATTTTAGATGGTCTTTCTAATCAACAACAGGAGAAGCATTCCTCTTGCAATTTCACAGGCTAAAAACTCACTGTAAAAAATGAGGCTGAGGCCAAGACCGCACCTAGAAAACGTCATCAACCCTACTCCCAAACAGGTGGTGGCACCCGGGGACTCCTCTTCCCACAGCAGGGCTCCACCCGGGAGTGATGCGGGAATAAGACGTGCAGATCTTGATTGGCAGCCTCTCTGATTCAGCCATTGCCTAAGTAACTCAAGATTTTTGGTTATGTTTTGGTTTTGGTTTTACAAGTTCCAGTGCTCCTGGCCTTGGGTACTCATCGGGGAGAGGAGATGATGCTGGCATAGACCCACCACCATCCATTTCAGTGTTAACATCTTCACACAACTTTTGTTTCCAGGCATTTGGTGTAGGCAGCCCTCGGAGCACAAAAATTCTGCTTGGATGTGTTTTCACTTACACACGTATTACTGTTGATAAGAACAAAGCTGCCTATCACAGCTGTTAGAATCAGTGTTGGATGACTCGGCAAGAGCGGTTTCTGCGCGGGGTGGGGTAGAGTGTGCACACTTACATTTCCTTGGCATCACGGAATCCCGTTAGAAGAATGCCTCGAGATGAGCTGATTTTCTGCAGCGACAAGAAACATGAGTTCTTTTTCTCTCCGTTTCACAGCTCTTGACTACGAGCCATGGGCAGAAGTCACCATTTCTTCAGCTAAGACATGCCTTCCCAGAATCCTTTGGCAGAATCCCCTAGAGATCTGTTTTTCTGCTCCTTCCTAAATTAGCAACAGTCTTCAAAGAAAACCGAAACAAAACAACAACAAAAAACTGACACATCAATGTGAGAAAAAACTAGCTCTAATTTTGCATTTTTCTTTTACATGGAAAATTTCAAAGTTTATTATCTGTAACCAATAAAAGTGGACAAGAAAAATTTGGGGAAAAGGGTAAAAAATGTGCATATACCTAAGATCAGATTGTTCCTTAATCAAAAAGCAACACATGATACAAATTCAAGATTTTATTAAAATCACTTGTAAGTTAACATAATATCTCAGCAGTGAAGAAACATTTTTAATAAAGCCAAAGAATGAGTTAGGTGAATAAACAGAAGAGTGAACAGCATTAACTGTGACACTGAAATGATTACATGATTTAATTATTCTTTGGATAATAAGCAGCTTTGTGAACATCTATTCAAGGACCCGAAACCTGTGCCTACTGTGGAATTTGCAGCTGAATTAGAGTTTTATTTCCTGTCTTTGATAATTTTAAGAAAACAAATGGAAACGGTTTTAAGAATTTATAAAACTCTGCTACCTACCAAAAGAAATTAAAAGGTAAGGTGGTAAGCACTAGAAAGAAAAGTGAAAAGAAACACACACACAGTACAGGTGACCCTTGAACACAGGGGTTAAAGTGCCAACCCCCTCATGCAGTTGAAAATCCACATGTAACTTTTGACTCCCCCAAATTTTAATCCTAACAGCCTACTGTTGACCAGAAAGCCTTACCAGTAACATAAACAGTCTATTAACACATATTCTGTATGCTGTATGTATTATATATTGTATTCTCACCATAAAGTTAGAGGGAAAAAATCTCATTAAGAAAATCATAAGATAAAATGCATTTACAGTATTCATTGTAGCAATTCCGTGTATAAGTGGACCTGCTCTTTCAAACCCATGCTGTTCGAGGGTTAACTGAATTTATTTGTGGGACAGAGCAAGACAGAACAGAAGTAATCATGAGAAAAGTGACCAGAAGTCCAGCCCAGGCCAACCCCTTATTTATTCTTGGCTGTCAGGGGTTTCCGGCTGATCTTTTTCGATTTGTCATTATTTTTCTTCGGCGGTTCTGGATTTGCCTGCATGTGTCTGCCGTAGAGACTGAAACGAGAGAGGGAGAAACCGTGAGATCGACCTGACTCACACCAAACAGGCTTCTCTTGATAGACCTTTAACAACAGGTTCATCTCCAGGAATACTCAGTAAGCGGGGGAAAAAAACCCCCACCAACTTCTGCTTTCTCTGGGTCGTATACCACGGATATATCTTTAATTTAATCTAATCTCATTTTTCCCATCACCATGTATCCCCTTTGCCCTCTTCCAACTCCGCCCGGCCCCTTCCCCCGCAGCCTGCGATCACCACACCTGCCGTGTTCTGAGTTCTCTCTCTGGCTCAACCCTCCCCAGCCAACGCCCCCGCCCCCACCACAGCTGCCTGCCTGCTCTGGCTATGAGGCTGCCTCTATGTTGCTTGGTAGTTCAGTTTGTTCATTAAATTCCACATATGAGTGAAATCACACGGCACTTGTCTTCCTCTGACTGGCTTATTTCACTCAGAATAATGTTTTCCACCTACACTATACTTAAGCATCAGAAATTCTCTCCACACACACACACACACACACACACACACACGCACACACACGGCACTCCAGGAGGTCCACTCTGGACGTGTCTCCTGCATTTCCCACCACCGGGCTGGGTGCAGTGACTCCGGAGGAAGAGAGATGCAGGATGTGGGGACCGATCGTGCTCGGCCCAGACGCTCCAGACTGAAGCTCCGAGGGCTGTGAGAGCTGAAGTCGACAATGACAGGAATTGGGTGGAATGGAGGAGACAGAGTGTCCATTTACTGAGAAGTGAGCACCGTGCCTGGCCTGCAAGCCCAGGGGCTGGACAATGTGACAGAGAGCAATGGCGTCCGAGCCCGCACAGGCCTGATTGATAGTGCTGGGGTGGCGGCCACACATCAACGTCGCGTTAATAAGGCTGCTGATTAAATGTTGACAAAGTTCCCCACCGTCACGGCGGGCGGCGTTCAGTCAGAGCGGACCAGCTCTGTGGCTGAGAGGGCTGAACTGAACAGCAGACGGTAATTCACGGATAATTTACGAGTGATTCTGATTAAACTGAATTAAAAGCCACCCTAAAATAAATACAGCTCAACCTCAACTTCCCTTGTTGACATGACCGTGTCCCCAGAGAGTCCGGTGGGTGTTTTGGCTTCTGTAGATGAAAGGCACTGCCTGCCTGCTTGTTGCAACTGACTCGTGGTTGACAGGACGACGGGCCTCCCCAGACTAGTTCGCCCTGTTCTAAGCGCCCTTCGCGGAGGCGGCGCCCTCCCTGACGCTCGCATTGGCCACCGCACGGCCAGGCACTGCTTTACTGATATGCTGATGGCCCTGGTTGACAGCCTGAGGGGTGCACCTGGCACACAAAGGTGGTCACTGATCGATGCTTAGGGAAAGCCGGACACTGAGGGTTTTGATAGGACACTGGGGCTTCCAAGTGTCTCCTTAAAAGTGGTCTGGCCCTGGCCGGTTTGGCTGAGCGGCTAGAGCAACGGCCGGAGGTCCAGAGAGTCTCGGCTTTGATCCCGGTCAAGGGCAAGTACCCCGGTTGTGTTTCAGTCCCCAACCCTGGTCAGGGTCATGCAGGAGGCAACCAGTCAATGTGTCTCTCATGTCAATGTTTCTCTCTCCCCCCACTCTATCTCAAGTTACATGGAAAAACATCCTCGGGTGAGGATTAAAAAAAAAAAAGCAGTCTGGGAGGGTTCTACTAACAGTGATCTGAAGATCTGAGGACAGGTCTCTGCTCCCAGGGAACGTGGATGCAGAGCCTGGAGCTGGTAGCGGGCAGACAGAAACTGGAGCACGTATATCCCAGTACCCGGCACAGCGGAGGGCCATCTCCTGGGTCAAAGAGGTACCACATGTCCTGGACTGGTAACATTTGAGCCTGCAAATTAGCTTTCAACTTCTGTGAGTGCCTAGACTTTCTCCTATATCTAATACAGAGGCGGCCCAGGCCCACCCAGCCCGACAGTGGGCCACTCTACCTCCACAGAAAGAACTCCTGGAAGAGAACCTGCTACCCAGGAAAATGGGTCTTTATACCCACGTTTGCCCCTTTTCCTCACCCTGTAAAAAGGGCCACTGGTTTTCCTGAAATCTGTGTCATGGACACCAGGGGCCCTGGATCCCAGATGAAGAACCACTGGCTTAGGCAGAGGCAAGTCCAGCCAGTTCAACATTACTGCCGTGGCCACCTCAACCTAGTGATGTCCCTGTACTAACAGCCAGAACCTAGGAATGACACCTTAGGTGGCAAAAGGGATTCTGCAAAGGTGATTACATTAAAGATCTTGAGATGGAAAGATTTATCCTGAGATATCCAGGGTGGGGGGACACGCGTGCACCCCTTCTCTCGGCCCTCCAGCACTTCTCCCGGATGCATCTGACAGGCAGAGGAAGCCTGGAGCCCAAGCAGACGTGTTGGTTATGGTCCTCGATCCCACACTCTCTTAACGTACTATGGACTGCCAGTCGGTCCTCCTCCTCCCAGAACACTGCTTTCCTCGGGCTCAGTGCTCCGTGTGCGATGCCAGGAAGGGGCCTCTGGGGCTCTTGTCACTGGGCCCAAAGCAGAGATGAGTCCGCCCTGTGCCCTCACACGGCCCTGGGAGCTTCAGTTACCCAGCTTCCTCACAGCTTCCTCTCAGCTCTCCTCTGGTCCCAGATCCTCATCCCCATTCTTACTCACAGACATCGAACTGTAAGGGTTACAAAAATGTGCACGAAGACAATGCCAGGGTCCCTTGGAAATGCAGTACTCAGGTGCTAAGAAAGTGGTTCTGACCAAATGAGGTCGGAGGAGGAGTAAGAGCCCCCGAGGGCCTGCGGCACCACACCCTGACCCTCAGGCCCGGAAGGCTTCCCTGGGCCCTGCGTGGTCATCTAGCAAAGTCGCTTCAGAAGAGGGTGCAGCAGCGCTCGGGACTCAGCAAAGCTCCTTTTTAGGAAGGAAATGGCATGTTTCAGAGCTTCCACTCCTGCCTCTTCACATGCAGACCCCGCGGTGTGCCTGAACTTCCTGGGCTACACAGCAAGTCAGAGCGGAGGCCCAGCGCCTGCTGCTCGAAGCCTAGTTCTGCCCCTTCCTGGTTGTCAACTGTGGGCCAGCGGTTAGCGTCGCTCACTCCCACCGCGCTTCCGCCAATCCACGCGTAAGACAGCGACGCGGTTTTCCTGGCAGGGGCCGTGGCGGTTATGAGCCAGCAAAGCACCATGACAAGCCTGCTGCAAGTGGCAGCACATGCCTGTTGAGAAATAGGACGGATGTGGGGTTACAGTCAGAGTGATTAAACACAGATAATTATATGAACACTTCACTTAAGGGCTTTTTCCTCTGGGAAAAAAAAAATAATAACCAAGTATTTTCTGTCAATGTCAAATCCCCCAGCATCTCTGGAAGAAAGGTCCGACTCCTCTCTGAAGACAGCAACGAAGGCAGAGCTGGCTGCAGCGCCCCACTTCCTGGGCGAGTCACCCGGAGCCGGGCTGACACTGCCCGTCCTTCTCTGCGTGATCCCTGCACGCCTCCAGCTTTGTGAGCAGATGCAAGTCGCCGCTTAGTAAGCAGACTGGTCCCCCGTGGACACATGGCTGTGGCAGGGCAGTAAGGACAAGTGTCTCAGGGTCCGAAGCCTCGGACTCCGCTCCTGGCTCCACCAGCGCTTAGCCATGGGGCCTCCATTTGGGGAGTGTGATAGGCGGAATGGCCCCCAAATGTCCACATCCTAATCTCCGAAGCCCGTGAACATAATACATTGCAAAAGAGACGTTACAGAGGTGATGAGGTCAAGGATCTGGAGCTGGAAAGATTAACCTAGATCACCCGGCGGGCCCAAAGGAGTCAGAGTCCTCGTCAGAGGGAGGCAGGCGGGTCAGGGTTAGAGAGAGTTGAGCCGGTGACGGCTGGCTTTGAGGGTGGAGGAAGGGGCTACCACCCCCGGAGAGCAGATGACTTCCGGCAGCTAGAAAGGCAAGGAAATCATTCTCCCCCAGAGCCTCCAGAGGAGCAACCCCGAGGACCCCTTGATTTCAGACTTCTGACCTCCAGAACGGTAAGACGGTGATTTGTTTTGTTTTCAGACACCAAGCTCACGGTGGTTTGTTCCAGCAGTGATGAGGACCCTCCGGGCCACACACAGGGCAGCCTACCAGGAAGAGGCCACTTAGTTTCAGCAGGAAAAAGACACTTTCTGAGGTAGCAGCTCATTGAAAAGGAAAAGGAAAAAGTAAGCTTCAGAAAGGACACACAGTGTGCCCAAAGGAACAATGGGCACTGTTCCCACCAGAAGGAGGAGAGCAGGCTGGTGCACTGTCCACTCTGCGGTAGGTAAGTGGACAGTCCTGCCCCTCCCTTCTCTGAAGCCAACACTCATGGCTCATGTTCTGAAAGTACGTGGGATTAATTTATATTGGGACCTGGAGGTCCTGAGTGGTGACAGAGAGGTCCATGCCCCAGAGAGAAGCTTACTCCGTGCAGCTGCTGAGCGGAGGGACACACCAGCCCATGCTGGGCGCCGGGAAGTGCCAGGCCGGCCAGGAGGCAGGAGTTTTATGGAAAGGACTGGGTGAGGCAGAGTGAGCAAGTTTGAGCGACTGCAGAATGGGAGAGTCTGAATCATCTCAGTGCCTCTAGGCCACAGGATGGTCTCTGGTTGTCCGGTACCAGGAAGAGGGAATGTTGTCTTGGTGAGTGTTCTAGATAAAGGAGGTGTTTGGGGGTCCGGGCTTCAGAGTGCTTGGCTCGTAAGTGTCAGGAATAGCTGCAGGCATGCTGGCTACTGACTGCTAGCGGTTAGCTAGCCCTGGGAGGGCAGTCTCTCCCCAGCCAGCAAGACCCACACACGTCAAAGCCTCATAAAATACAGAAAATAAAGCCCATAATTAATTAATACAGTCCACAGCCTTTGGGATGGACTTCTGTCCTCCCGATGACCCATATCCTCCTCTCATGAAGCACTTTGCCCCGTAGGGCCTTGGTGACGACAGCTGCTGGACCTGTTCCTTCTACCTCCCCACCTGG